CTTAAAGGCCTTCGCAAGTTTGGTGGTGTCTCCGTTAGTAAATAGATCGACTTCGTCGCGATCATTCACTAAATTGATAAAATCTCAGAAAGTTGATCTCCAATTAAATGTTAATGTTTTTGGTCATCGCGGGCTTGACTCTCGCATTATCAATTCGAAATACGCTGATTGATGAGCCATCAATCCACATGTATCCAGTTTTATCCATCTGAGACGTTGTGCCTATGATCTTGAGAATAGGAATAATTTTATTTTTCAAACCAGTCGACTCAAGCAGTGCCTTAATTTTAAAAATAAACCAAAGCATACGATTCTTACTATCAGCTTGATCTAATGAAGTTGAATTCGATGTATCAAACTCGAAACTGTTTTCAAGAGCTCCTGCACTTTTGCTCTCTCTGAGCGAGCGAAATAAATTTTTTAAAATTGTGTCTATATCAAACGAATCATATGAAATGAGTAGCCTTGAATACTCTTACCAGTAGCCCGGCATAACTGAGTCATGACGAAAAGGTAGACAGGAATGACAGATAACGATCCTTAATGCAATGGGGTCAAGCTTCAAAAATGCTTTCAAGTCATGGCGATCCTTACGACTTACTACTGTTTTGCGGAAAGTCTCGGCTGCATCAAGATACAGCAACTCATTCTGGATTCGACTCACCTCCTGTATCACCCAATGCTTACGTCCAATTTTAACAAGCTGAAGTTCTTTCTCTACACAACTTGGGCACATTACTATCTTTTGCTATGAATTAAGTCAGATATTTCCCATAATACTCAGAGAAATATTTGAGATTATATACTTGAGTCAAAAGCTTACAGAGAATTTCTCTATCAAACATATCTACAAGCCAATTATGACTAATTTTTTTGTGGCGCGGGGTGAAACTACGTCAGCTCTTTCTTGAGTTCCAATATTCCTTTTTCAAGCGTTGATCTCCTGTTCTTATTAACCAGTCGTAGATTATATTGTGGCTTTCAGGAGTCAGGTTCATTGCCAACCCATCTGATCAGATAATTGTACTTTCCAGAGCGTATCGTTTTGTGACCCAAGATCTTCTTCACCTCGAGAATATCGCCTCGATTAATAGTAGCATCTGTAGACTCTGTTTGAAGCATTTTAAGATTGTTTGACGCCTTATAGAGGGTATGCCCATTTCTTGAACGGATTTGGGCTCAATAGCCATCAATTCCAACGATTTTATAGCCTGCTTTGCTCCATCGAGCAGCTTCTTTTGAGACGTTATGATACGCTTGATCCGACGTCAAACTTTTTCTCAATTCTTTCGGCTTCCACCAGATTATGACTCAGAACTGCATTCGTTACTTTGCCTTTTGCCTCATTTGGGGTCATACCAATCGAACGATGAAACGTGGGATTGTAGTTTGATAACATCAGTGATAAGCTTTTGCGTAATTTTCTTGGGGAACATTTAGCTATTTTCTGCTTTAAGGTCTTGTGGAATCGTTCGATTTACTCATGATTCCGTGATCACCGGGTTCGTTGTTGTAGTGCTCAATTTTTTTAGTTTGGAAAAATTCTTGAGCCTGTCAGTTCATGAACTCGCTTCTATTATCATTTGTTAGGATATCAACTTTGTGAAGACCAACAAGCGCTTTAAACGCTGCTAAGACAGTTGCTACCGTCCTTTTTTGTAAGAGCTGTGATACCCGCGGCCTTGGGTTGATTTTGATAGCAGTCAAAGTCAGCCGTTTCTCCCATAACGCAAGATCAATTTGCCACGATTTGGGGTTGTGCAAAGCTATTTTGAAATCACTCAATCTCTTCTTTTGCTCTTGAAATCGTTAAATATCGATCTGACTCCCATACCAATCTCTTACTATTTTGAAAGCTATCTTAGGATCTAACTTCTTTGCCTTCTGAAACAGAGCTTGACCTTCGATAAAATCAGTTTTTGGGTCATAGTAGAGGTTCTTTAGTAGCGCGTCTACGATCTATTTAAATTTAATAAAATTCCCAGTAATTAATTGCTTAAATATCAAGTGCTTCACTCGTGATACCATCATCAAGTACACGACGTTTGTCTTAGAAGCATTTAAATGCTGTTTTGCCTGTGTATAGGTGAGAATAGTTTCTTTCGATAGTCTGAACCCCTTGTTTGTACCTTAAGCGTGATGCGATCCCGTACGACAGTCTCAAACCCATCAGGATTAAAAACACCAATATTTCGACGAATACCCTGCTAAATATCCTTCGGTGAAACTTTTACCTTGTACAAATCCTCGTATAGATAACATACTTCTTACTCGATAGTGAGACCATAGCACCACCTGACCATTCATCTTTGAACAAACCAGGCGTACGGCGATCTAACTTAGCTACCTCAGCGTCGTAGTCGCGTGAGAACCAATCGTACTTGTGCTCATTGAAGTGGGTTCGTAGCTTAGGCTTGATACAGCCTTGAAACGGATTATCACAGCTGAAAGCGATATAAGTGAAATCAGTGTCCATCTCCTGATACTGGAAGTCAGAGCGATTGAAGTAGAAATCTATGCAGTCATAGTAAAACTGAAGCAGAACTTGAGCATGCGTAGCTTAGCAAGCTGGTAGGTAGCAATCGACAAATGGATTGGGTTCTTATTTTTGAGTCGATGCTTCTTCATCGTCATTTCACACGGATTGTTAAGCTCCTCGAGACCATGGAACCTAAATTGTTCGATCTTGTTCTTAATAGCTTTGTCGCTCGACTCATACTTAACCTCTTTGTGCT